CCCCCCGGGGGCCCCCCTGGGGGGGCCCCCCGGGGGCCCCTGCGGGGGCCCCCTGAGGGGGGGGGCCCCCTGGGGGGCCCCCCAGGAGGCGTATATGGACTTTTCTGCTTGCAGAATGGAAATAATGAAGTCAATTAAACTCAAAAGATCAGATCTTCGCGCAGAGTCCCGCAGGTACTTGCTAGCTAGCTGCCAAGTTTCTTCAAGTCGAAAAAGATGAGCCACTAACATTTTGTTGTTTCCCAAGTGGGGGTCTACGCGTTCTGGAGACTGGCTCAACTCCATTATGTGCCTGAGGCCAACGCAGCAACTCCGCAGCTAGCTGGCTAGCTAGCTCGTGGCTAGCCAGCTGTAGCTAGCTGTGGCTAGCTGCAGCTAGCTGTGGCTCAGCGTAGCTCGCTGTAGCCGTCCACGCCGAGCCGTGGAGGGCCAGCTTTAGCTAGCTGTGGCTAGCTAGCTGCAGCCATTTGTGGCTAGCTAGCTGTGGCTATCTACCTGTGGCTAGCTAGCTGTAGCTAGCTATGGATGGCTAGCTGTGGCTAGCTAGCCGTGGCTAGCTCGCTGCGGCTATCTAGCTGTAGCTAGCTGTGGCTATCTAGCTGTAGCTAGCTAGCTGTGGCTAGCTAGTTGTGGCTAGCTAGCTGTGGCTAGCTAGCTGTGGCTAGCTAGCTGTGGCTAGCTAGCTGTGGCTAGCTGTGGCTAGCTAGCTGACCCTCTGAACTCGTTGAAGCTGGTGACGCAGTCTGCGGCCAAGTGCTCAATGGCGGAGTACAGGTGGCCCGGCTCAGACTCTGAAAAAAATTTAAAAAAATATAAAATAAAAAATAAAATAAAAATGATAAAAGCAAATTAAATTAAAATAAATAAGGAACAAAAAGAAATGGAAGAAAGCAAAAAAAAATAAAGATACGGAAATAATAGAGATAAAGAAATTAGAAGAAATTGAAAGCAAAAAAGGGAAAAACAGAAATAATGAAAAAGTAATAAAAAACAGGAAAAAATTAATTAGATTTTACAGAAAAAAAAGAAATTAAAAACAGAGAAAAAGAAAGAAAAGGAATTAAGGAATTAAAGGTCTAAAAACAAAGACACAAAAAGGTAAAAATGAAAATGAAAAAAGATGATAAACACAAAAAGGCAAAAAAGATAAAAGGAATTAGAGGAATAAATGAAATAAAGAAATAAAAGAAACA